AATAGTTGTTCTGGGGCAGATGTTTGGAAAGAGAGGAGACTGGAGGATAATGATAGGCACTTGAATTTACTACATTCTATTTCTCCTATTTAAAAAAATAAAATAAAAAAATAAGGAAAGAGAGCAAAGTTATCAAAGTAATTATACTTGGTGAAATATATTTAAGTAGAATAGAATATTCACATTATGTGTTTGTTCCATTTCTTCTGCTACATTGCCATCATCACTTGGTAGGACTGATTCACCAAGTTCACTCTTCTCTTTCTCTGGCATGAGCTGTGAGGAGGTCCATTGACTTGCCCAAATAATGGAGAGCTTATCTTATAGGATGAGAAGATTCTATTAAGCATGATTTACTCTAGGTGAAAATAAGATCAACATATCTCCCCTGAGAACACATTCTTAGAAAACCCTATAAACAGCTGTCTGATTTCCAAAGGTGATAGATTAAGAAAATATTACAAAAGGTGGAAGCCACATCAACATCTTAATGTAAATAAGGGTACGTTTATAGATCGTTAACTGCTCAAGGGCATTACAAGAGGGAAATTAAAGCTAAGTGTTAAAAACCACTGTCTATTGACAATCACTCAGTAAGGAGGGTGACATATTCTGAAATTATAATGAAAGTCAATGATAAATTTAATAATCAAAATATAATTTTCTAGTTATGTTTTACCAGAAAATAGGTTTTGTATAGTACATTGCCCTTTTATTAAAAACTAAATATAGTAGGTTATTATTATTCATTGTAATATGTCATGCATTTTTTTCAGTTTTTATTTATAACTGTAATTAATCCTATCATTATTAGCAGTAGGGTTATGATTTAAAATATGATGTTGGCCACATGCAATGTGATATCCTGGATTTGATTCTAGAGTACAGAAAGGGCCGATGTGGAAAAACTGGTGAAGTCTGAGTAAAATCTGCAGTTTCCTTGATAATAATGGACCAATGTTGGTTTCCTAACTTTGATGAATATACTATGCAGATGTAGATGTTAACACTGTTGCAAATTTTGTGAAGGATGTAGGGGAACTCTTTGTACAGTCTTTATAACTTTTCTATAAACCTAATATTATTCCAAAATTTAAAAATTATGAAAGAATTTTCATAAACTAGGGACTTAGGCTAAGCGTGCAATTAGGCTGAACTCAAAAACTTTCTTTTCCTCAATGTTTGTTTTTGAAAATCTTAAATCAAATAGTAGGAATTTTTTTCTTGCCTGGTAACTATATCTGACTGTTTTATAAATGAGAGTTGAGTGGCTTAGATCTTGTTTCATTCATTCATTCATTCATTCATTCATTCAGTTTTTCAGTTCTCTTTGCTTGTTGCTATAATGTACTTTGGCACCAGTGCAGTCTGACTTCAGTAGTCCTCCTTTGTAGGCCTGTTTCCTTTACCTTGTATGGGGTACACTTTCTGTCTCCCTGTTTATCTTTAAAAATGTAGATCATCACACAGATATGGATGGTCTCCTCTGTAAAGTTTCCCAAACAACCCCCATTCCCCATACTTGGCCATTTCTTCCTTTCCTGATGGCACATGGTCTCTTCCTTGTAATTGTACCACTTGTATTTTGTCTGGGGCCTTGTACACAACTGGAGCTTTGCAAACGTCTGCTCATAGCTTTGACCTTCTTAAGGCAAAGCAAGTACATGCTCAGTTGGTAAGCCGCACATATGAGTCCTACAAAATGAGGCCTTGTTATATTTCCAATTTATTGATGTTTTGTTAAGTAGGTTCTGGGGTTTTACTGAATAATGTGTTATACTGATTTCAAAGTAATTTAATGTGACCTTTGTTTATAATGCCATTTTAGATTAAATTTTGTCTGAAGCTCATTTTCTGAGAAGCTTCCATTTCCCCAAAGGTTCCCACCACCCGGTGATTTTAGGCTTTACAGTGATAACCTATGATATGGATAAACAGAGAAAGACTTTCTTCTTTAAAAAATGCTTTTTTTGGGGGGGGGACAAGGAATTAAATTGGGACACCATTTTATTCATTCATATTTTTATTCTAAACATCATTCTTGAATTGTCCAGCTTTTGATAACTTATTTTTTCACTTGACAATATTTATTGACACTTACTTTGTTTTAGATGCTGCAGTGGGGATAAAACAGTGACAACAGACAAACAGGGCCCTTCAGCCTGAGTTCACATTCTAGGGTATGTGTGTATGCAGACAGGGTGGGAGCTGTAAGTGAATAAGAGAAACCAACTGGGAAGTATAGAGTGAGAGACTGGGGACAAGTCTCCATAATCTAGTGTAGTGGGGATGGTTATTTGGAAATAATATTTGGGTTTAGATTTGAAGGAAGAGATTTGAGCTCCTGAAGAACAAGCAGCCCATATACCAGGCAGAAGGGACACAGTTGCTATGAACCTTGGACAATAAGGAGTATGAATAGGGCTCAAGGGTCAGAACAAAAGTCCAATGGCTTCAACCAGTCACCACTGGGCAGATGGTACTGATGGAAGTTGGAATAGTCAGCAGGGCTGTTTTGCTTTGTTTGCTTGAACCATATAAGCCAAAGTTCTTGCTTACTTATTCTAATGGACTTCATGGAGGATACAGAGAAAAGTACAGCACATTCTCTCTTTCCAAGGAGCTCAAAGTCTAGTTGGGTTAGCAGACAGTGAACAGTCAACTCCAATATGTGCACTTTTTGAGGACAGCCCTTAGATGTACACAGGGGGGTGTGTGAGTTTGGAAGAGAAAAGGAGTCCTCCCCGCCAAGGGACAGCCACAAAATATGTAGCTGCAACACTGCCATGCAAGTGACTTTTCAATATTTCCCCCCACTGATTAGTGTCATGAAGCATTGCCAGGTGGCCTATTCAACGTCCTCTTAACTCCTGAGTATATCTGAGACACAAGCAATCCTACAATAAGCCTTTGGCAAGGTACCATAAAACATGTTTCAAGCCATAGTTAAATAGATGACATAAAGAGATAGAATGACTAGGCAAAACATCTTATCCCAACCACGTTCATTTTTGAGGTCCTTTCTCTTTTCGGTTTAGATACGCAGGTTTTCTGGGGCCCACTGGAAATGCCACTACAGGGAACAATCCAGGAACATTCTTTCCATTCTATCTCCAGGGGACCTGTTTTCTGCTGGTTGTACTCTCATTCTTCTGATTACTTAGGAGAAGCTTTGCACCCCATTGCCAATTGTCTGCTATGCACAGTAAGTACAGAAACCTGCATATCACCAAGGTGCTTGCTCTCTGATGCACTCGGGGGCTGAAGGACTTGGTGATTTTCTTTCTTTTTCTTTTTTTTTTTGGACTTGGTGATTTTCTTTGGTGGCTGCCATCTTGTCTTGTGTCTTCCTATTTTGTTATTTCTCCTGCTTTCTTTAAAGATTTATGATCAGTGCCTTTAAACTGGGCACACATATCCCTGTAGGACAGGAATGTTTTCCAGGGAGCATGGGTGGCTATAAGAGCTTTGAGTTTTAGATTTTCAGTTTACACCTGTACTCTTCTCTAAGATTAATTGGCCTGAGACTCCATCTGCCAGTTCTTTCTTCACTTTCCTTTTCTAATTGCTTTTCCCATTCTCCTGGGGCTGGGGGTGGGGGTGGGGAGTGGAAGATGGTGGGAGAGGGGGCTGCAAGCATCTCTCTCAGCTATCTAGAATTTACTACAATACTATGACCCTGGTAAAAACACTTCTTGGGTACCCCAATAAAGGACTTTCCCTTGGAGGAGGAGGGTTTTTTTTTTTTTCACCCAGGAAATACCAGGACAAGGCAACACCCCACAGCTAGCTAGTTAACATCTCAGAATTAGAATCCAACTGCCAGAAGTTCGTGGAGGGGGTGCATATTAACAAGTTTATCTGACTTTTAGAAATGAAGTCAGATGTTTTCTCTAAAAAATTAAGCCCTTTTGGTTGATTGGTTTGACAACAAGGACTAGAATTTTCCAGAAATTGAATAAACTGATTGAATGAATGGTGTGATCAAAATACATTTAAAGCATTCTAAAACATGTAACACACATGGAAACACATCTTTGGTAATTATTAGAGTTACAATAAAAATTTTCATATATTGACCTAAAAATATGTGAAGCTTCTGCAGGTTACACACCAGCCACATGGGCTTTATGAAAAGACAGCAGCCCAGTCAGTGTTCCATCTCCTGTCTTCACTCAGTTACCCACCTCTTTGTATATTTCATGCATCAGTCTTAATGTGTGGAGAGCAGCGGTTCCTCAAAAGTTGTACATGAGATAGAAATAAGATTGTTTGAAAAAAAAATTGAGGTTTTAGAACACCCCAGTGTACTTGTTCACCTGATATTTGATACATTTACAAGGTATATGAGTAGGTGGATTAAAGTTGATTGCATGGCTCTTTTTCATATCCTGGCATGATCTCCTTTTACAGACATTATACTTAAGGTATTCAGTGTGCATTTTCAAGGAATCAAAGCCTTAGGGAATTAAGTGGTTGCATAAACTAGTGGATTATTAATGAGCCTACAGCTCAGTAGAAAGATAATTAAGAGTTTATTCAGAGAGAGATCCAATTCAGAGCTGGAGCCCAGAAGATAGAGGCATATACTCAGCCCTTAAGTCCTGAACAAAAGCCTTCCCTAAAATTCAGTTCCCTTTGCATGAAAGCAGATCCAAGTCAGTTGTCAGAAATATCCTCGCCTAAAGGGAAAGTTATTTTTAATGTATGTCTTGTAATATTTATACCCAAGTGTCAAAGGGAGAGTTGTGTTATAACCTAGGGATTAGTTCAGTCATACACTTGAGATGAAACATAGTCCCCAGGAATGTACTCTTCTGCTGAGCTCTATCAAAGCCTCAGTACCAGGGCCACACCTTCCTCTCCAGCTGGAAACATGACAAACAAAGTCCAGAGATCAGAAGACTTGCTGAGTTGGGACAGACATGGTATAATTACGTATTTCCCCCTTTGAACTCTGGAACTAGGTATGCACAAAGGAAAGTTATCTTAATAAGTGAGAAAAAGCAGGTTATGGAGCAAGACCAAGACAAACGAGTATGGAGTATCGCCTGAGCAGACAACACTTTTGCCCTGCTGGAAGCCACTGTGATGCTGGGTAAGATGGAATTGCTGAGAATTTCTGAAATGTGCTCATAGAGGCAAAAATGTAAGAAAGACCTAAGAGAAAAGAAACAGAAATTCAGGGAAAGAGTGAGGGAAAAGAGATAGTTGATTTGGGATGCTCAAATTTTGATACTGTTTGATAGGGGATGGATGCAACTAAGACTGTGTAGACATTTGAATCTGAAAGATCACCATGAAAGGCAATAGCCATGGGATAATACTGTGGTTCCGTTCGGATGTCAGTAAGCTATGGTCCATGGGTCACTCTGCCCCCCAGCTGGTTTTTGTATGTCCCAGGACCTATGAATAGTTTTAATATTTTGGATAGTAGAAAAAAATCAAAATAAGAACAATGTTTTATGATGTATAAAAATTATGTGAATTTTAAATTTCATCCAAAATAAAATTTAAATTATTCCTAGGACTTGGACCTGTAGAAAATGCATGTGAATTTAAACAATAACCCACTTCTTTCCAGAGGTTTTGTAATCTGATTCAAATAGATCTTCTCCTTTGAGAAATGTACTGTGTTTTGTGAATTTGGGTTTAGAATGGAAACTCAGCAATTATTTCAAGAACTGTTGTATACTGGAAAACACATAGTTGTGTATCCATAAATCACAGGTGGTCTAGAGCCAGATAGATGAATTCCTCTGCTCACATAGAATAAAGATATTCTTTTTTTATGCTTAGAGAAAATAACAAATGAAAGAATATTTTCTTTTAAGTTTCTCATAATATAGTAGCACCCAGTCTAGTTCATATACAAATTAACATCTAATACAAAATGCTGATAAAAAAACTTTGAAAATACAAATCATATATCCAGGTAGCTCTTTTTAGGTCAATTTTCTGATTTTCTTGTAGAAATGCTTTCTAAATTTTATGATGAAATTCAATAAATTAATATTTTATAATATGCTATAGAAAGTGGTGTGGCTCAATGGTGCTCTGTCACCTAAATAAATTTGAGAGGTTCTTCCTAAAAATGCTCTAAGTAAAGTAGTCATTTTACTGCCTTGTTACATCTTTGTACCAACTGTATCCTTGACATAACAATACTGTAACAGAACTCACACTTCATTTTGGGAAAGGGAAAGAGAGAGGGAGGGACGGAGGGAGGGAGAGAGGGAGAAAGGAAGGAAGAAAGGTAGAAAGGAAGGAAGGAGGGAGGGAGGAAAGGAAGGAAGGAGGGAAGGATGGCCGGAAAGGAGGAAGGAAATATATATCATAATGTTTTCAGCAAGTTACTCATTTCAGGTCTCAGGTTCACAGCAGATTGATTTTTCATCTTATATTATGATTCATCACCATCATTGGTCTAAGCTCATACTCTTTTCTATTTAATTTAATTTTGTTTTTGTTGTTGTTGTTGAAGATATTTATTTAAGAGCAAGTTGGGAGTGGGAGGTAGAGGGAGAGAGAGAAAAAGAGTCTCAAGCAGACTCTATGCTGAACACAGAATCCAATGTGGGGCTTGATGCCATGACCCTGAGACCATATCCTGAGCCAAAAGCAAGAGCTGCACGTTTAACCTACTGAGCCACCCAGGAGCCCCAAACTTTTATTCTGTTTTTAAAATTTGGTTTTCTGTACTCTTTATTCACAATTCTATACTCCACCTGTTTTGTTCTTCTGCATTGACATCTACTGTTGGTACTCACTGTATGTCCTTCCTTCCATTCCATCTTCCATATAATGATTTGCATAGATGCATTTATGAACTATATACAGTAATTGTTTTTTGGGGGTGTGTTCTTCTTAAGGAGTATTATAATTCTGATTTTTTTCACTTACAGTGTTTCTGAGACCTCTCCATCTTAATATATATTTAGACTTAGTTATTGCCTTAGCTTGTATTATACCTCACCACTTGGATATAATTCACAAATGTTATCCCCTCATTCCTATTTAAGTTGTTTTTCACTCATTGTCATTACACATCAGGCTGTGATAAATCTTCACATAAATATCTCTTTGTGTATCGAATGGAAGGTTTTACAATAGTATATTTCAAGATTGGAAATGCTGTAAGATAATGTTTATAATTTAAGAAAATTCTTCCAAATTTCTTTGAAAATGGCCAATTTTCATTCCCATTAACAGAAGGTGAAGGTTTCCCATATCATCAGCATTTGAAATTGTTTTACTTGTAATTTTTTTTTTTACTAAGCTGATCACTTGTAAACTGATTATATATTATTTCTTCTAAATGAAATTTTCTCTTATTTAGAGAGGTGGAACTTTTTTTTTCATAATGTTAGGAGCCATTTGGGTTTCACCATTATCATCTTTGCTCAAAATTTAAAAAATATGGTTGGCTTCTTTTTTCTCCCTAAATAGTTTATAAGATATACATATATACACACATGCTGCCACCTGACACATATTCTTTATCTTTTATCAGTAGGAAGCAGGGTTAACTATTGTGTTTTATCCCTCCTTTAACTGTGTTTACATTTCTTAATCAGAAATATTTCCTTTTTAACAGTATTTCTGAAGCATAATTGACATCAGTAAACTGCACATAATTAAATTATGCAATTTGATGAATGTCAATGCAGCGAAGGGTGGATATATATATACCCATGAAACTATCACCACGATCAAGATAATTAATATATCCCTTACCCCTAAAAGTTTCCCCATTTTGGTAACTCTCCCTGCAGGATCTCCCTGTCCACCATTCTCACTTCTCACTTCCAGGCAACCTGATCTGATTTCTGTTCCTATAGATTTTATTTTCTCGCATTATTTTAAAAGAGTCTATAAACTTCATGAATGGAATCATAGAGTATGTATTGATCATACAGCAGGTATGTATAATATGTATGATTTTTATAGAAATGCTTTTTTTCTCTTTTCTTTTTTTTTTTCTTTTTTCACTTGAATTACCTTACAGTTTATTCATGACATGGCCTGTATCAATAATTCATTCCTTTTCATTGAGGAATACCATTCCATTGTATTGATATACCAGTCTGTTTATCTATGCATCTGATTATGTATCTGTGCTATTTCCAGGTTTGATTCTTACCAAAAAGCTGCTATAAACATTTGTATAAAATTTATATGGATGTAAGCTTTTATTTCTCTTGGGTTAATACCTTGGAATGAAATGGTTTGTTAATATACTAGATAAATGTTAAACTTCAAAGAAAATGCTTAGCTGTTTTCCTAGTGGTTGTATCATTTCACGTTCTTCTCAGCAATGCACAATTAGTACTTTCACAGTATTTGTTTTTCTATTATTTTATTTTTAACATGCTTCTGTCTTTATATTTAAATGGGTCTTTTGTAAACAACATAGAATTAGGTACTTTTTAATTATTCCAGCCTAGCAATCTTGTCCTTTAATTTGCCATGTTTAATCCATTAATATTTGGTCTGATTACTTATATTTGGAGTTAAGTCTTTCATCTTACTAATTGTCATTTACTTGTTCTATCTATAATTTGTGCCTTAATTTCTTTTTTTGTAAGATTTTATTTATTTATTCATGAGAGACACACAGAGAGAGGCAGAGACATAGGCAGAGGGGGAAGCAGGCTCCCTGCAAGAAGCCTGATGTGGGACTTGATCCCAGTACCCTGGGATCACAGTCTGAGCCAAAGGCAGACACTCAACCACTGAGCCACTCAGGCATCCCTTGTGCCTTAATTTCTTTGTTCCTTTTGTTTCTCTTTTTTCTTTTAACAACTCAATGGTTTTTTATTACCTCATATCACCTCAATTAACTTTGTAATTCTATAAAATCTTATAAATTCTTATATATATTACATACATCTTAATTTTATGTACATATATATATAAGTATTCACTGTACAGATTGCAACATAACTTTGACTAAACTTGCTCCTCAATTAGTATCTTTCCTACTTCCTAAACCATTAAAACTTTTCTGATAGATATTTCTATTTTCCCTTCCCTGACATATTTTGCCTTTATGACATATTTTACTTCTTTTTCAAGGTTGTTTTGACAATTGAGAGTTCCTTGTAATTTCATATGAATTTTAGAATCAGCTTGGCAACAACTAGGATTCTGATAGGGATTGCATCAAATCTGTAGATAAATTTGTGTAGTATTAACAATATAAGCTTTTTGATACATGAGCATGGGATATTTTGTTAATTGTTTAGATCTTTTTAAAGTTCCTTACAGCAATATTTGTAGTTTTCAGTTATAATCTTTTATAAATTTTTTTTAAAATTTTTTAAAATTTTATTCCTAAGTATTTTGTGTTAAATGCTATTGAAAATGGAATAACTTTCTTCTTATAGTTTCTGTATTGTTCATTGCAAGTTATAGAAATACTGCTGATTTGTATACATTGATCTTGTATCTTGCAACTTCAATGAACTCATTTATTAGTTGTAAATTTTTTAGTGGGTTATTTAGGATTTTCTGCATACATTGCATTGTGATTTGTGAATAAAGATAGCTTTACATCTTCTTTTTCAGTCTGGATGCCTTTTAATTTTTTTTCTGACCTACCTACACAAGTGGCACAAACAGACTTCTTTGCCTTGTTCCTGATCTCATGGGGAAAGCATCAAGACTATCGCCATAAAGTGGGACATAAAGTGGATTTTTCACAGATAACTTTTATCAGATTGACAAAGTTCCCTTCTATTCTTATTTTGTGTAGTGTTTTTATCATAAAAGTGGGTTGTGTTTGCCAATACTTTCTACATTTATTGAGATGATTATATGCTTTTTGATTTTTATTTTATTGACATGATTTCTGGATGTTAAACCATGCTTGCATCATCTCTGGAATAAATTGTACTTGGTGGTAGTATATAATTCTTTTTTATATATTGCCAGAATTGGTATGCTGGTGTCTTGTTGAAGATTTCTGTGATCCATATCTCATAAGAGATACTGGTTTGTAGTTGTTGTTTTTTTTTTTTTTTCATTATATCATTGTGTGGTTTTGGCATTGGGACAATACTGGCCTCATAAAATGATTTGAGAAGTGTTTACCTT